GGAGGACCACAACCTGAAAAAAGAACGGGCGAGAGAGAAGAAAGGACTCAAGGAAACAATTGCTTGTCAAGAGTCGTGTATTTGAACGTGAAACACTTTCTTATAGTATGCTTTACAAGGGGAGGGGGTAAGAGGGGCCAGGTGGTGGAAAATTACAGAATCTTCATGGCCTGTGCCCTGAAACATTTCATGGTCTACACGGTATACTGCCTTGAATTATGATCTACCTGCTATTCTTCAAAAGATATGGTACACTGCTTTGAGTTATGGTCTCCCTGCTTTCCTCAGAAGATACGGTACACTGCCTGCCAAGCAGGATCTTGCGGTTGCCAAGCTGCAGGGGACATTGTGCAGGTGGGGAAAGGTAGGGGGTGAGGGTAAGGGCGAGGGTCCTGGCTTCTGGCAGGGAGGGAGGGAGGGAGGAAGGGAGGGAAGGAGGGAGGGAGGGAGGGAGGGAGGGAAGAAGGAAGGAAGGAAGGAAGGAAGGAAGGAAGGAAAGAAGGAAGGAAGCAGGCTGAGCAAGTCACAAGGAGCAAATTGTTGCTATAATTTCTTTCCCCAATAAGCCCGTATAAAAATCACACAGCCCAGTTATTATATTTATAAGCTATGTGACTACATTGGGCAGATCTATCACTATACTAATTTATTCCTCAGCTATGAGACCCCTTGCTACTTGCAGCTTCTCCAGGCCACATGGTTCTGTTCCATATTGGCTTCCACCTCCTCTTCCCTCGTCCTCCCTCTGCTTCCTCCTCTCTCCTTCTTCCTCTGAGAACTCCTGCCCCACCTTTCCCTTCCACTGCCTAATCACAGGCTCTAGCCTTTATTTGACCAGTTAGGAGAAGGATCAGTGAGAAGACCTCAGTATGTGAGTATGTGAGAAGACCTCAGTACTCCTTGTTGGGGACAGCCCCTCTTGAGGAAGCAGAATTAACATCAAAATATAAACAGTATCAGGGCAACCCAGAACAGCAAGCAGTAAACAGTGTTCCTCCCTGGCTTCTGCATCAGTTCCTGCTTCCAGGTTCCTGCCTCAACTTCCTTTAATGCTAAACCGTGATGTGATGTGGAAGTGTAAGCATAATAAACCCTTTCCTCTCCAAGTTGCTTTTGGTCGTGGCGTTTTAAGCACAACAGAAGCAGGAACTAAGACAGTTATTGCTGAACTTTTCTTACTTAGCCTTATTTATCAACGTGTATAGGAAAACACATTATTTAGGGGTTGATATTACCTTGTGGTGTTTGCCATCCTCTGGGGTCTTAGAATGCATTTTCCATGAATAAATGGAGACTCTTGCCATGATGACAGCAACAACAGAGAGACAGTGTGTGGTGAGGGTTTACACTGCCCTTCACTTACACTGTGCCATGCAGTCTTTTTGGTGTTGTGTGCACAGTGTCTCACTTAGTTCTCACCTGCCTAAGTGCTGTGTGCACGGTATCTCACTTTATCCTCTGTGAAGTAGAAAGCATCCCCACCTCCATTTTCAGACGAGGAAACTGAAGAAGATTAAACGACCTGCTGGTGATCGCAGAGCAATGAGCGGCTGGGCTGGGGCCCAGACTTGGAAGCCATACAGCCCAGACCTCATAGTCCTCACTACAAAGCTACAACGAGACCTCCTGCTACATGAGTGGGCAGCTGACTGAGCCTAAAACTCAACTCCCAACATATCCTTGGGACAACTGAAAATTCTGCCCCAGAGAGTGGTTCCCTGTGGGTTTATGGCTAGCACTGAGTACTTAAATAACTTACATTATTGTTAACACGTGTTTTATTGTGGCGATAACCAGAGACTGAATATAATATGCAGGGCACTGCAACTGACTCTAGCAGCCACAAATGTAAGAAGATTACACCTAAGCTTGTATTTATGAATATTTAAAAGTCCTTAATGACAGCAACCGGAAGATGCTCACTTTTTTTTTTAAGGGGTCATGTTATATTTTACATTTTAACCTATGTTAAAAGCATAGGTGCTATAGAAATGAGATGACCAGCTCTTCCAGAATATACAGCAACTGTCTCTACTTTTGTGGTGCCAGGGTTAGGAGATTTACGGTAAAGCCATGTTTCCAAGGAAGTCAGTACAAAAAGCCAGACTTCTACAGGCAGTTTCTGGGTCAGATCAGTTTACCATCCATCGCAGTGGCTTACGTTTTCTCCAGATGTTCATCCCGAAGAGGCTCCAAAAAGGCTATTTCTCTGCTTACCCTCTCCCTCTGGTGTTTGGTGGTGTTGCTAACGGGCAAGGTTTAAATGAACTGGTCATCTCAGAGTCATGGAAAACACGGAGCCAAAACTCAAGCAGGCCCCCTATTTTCGTTGTGAAAAGGGACCAAACTGGGTCCCTGTGTGCCAGAAGTGTGAAGCCTGTGTCTTAGCATGGAAGATCTTTGCCACCAAAGAGTGGTTCCGGAGGGTCAACGACATATCCCAGAGGAGATTTCTAGTCAGCATCTTGGGGCAGTTGAATAGCCTGTACTTGTTACAGTATTTCCAGAATATCCTAGAGACCACCCAGGGGAAGGACTTCATCTACACCAGGTCTCGGACCAAACTCAATAGGAAGGGGGGAAAAGAGGAGGAGGTTGTAAAGTCCTCCTTGAACCAGGTGTTGGATAAAACGGTGGAGCAGAAGATGAAGGAGATCCTCAACTGGTTTGGCAACAGCACCCACCGGACTAAGGCAAATTATACTTTATTGCTGCTGCAGATGTGCGACTCAAACTTACTGCTCACTGCTGCCAATGTGATCAGAGTCCTGTTCATGAAAGAGTGGAACAGTATCTCAGGTGAGAGCTGAAGGCCCAGAGACCAGACACAGGATTGGAATGGGGCACACGTGCAAGCAGGCTTGGAAGGGAGCATACGTGCAAGCAGGCTTGGAAGAGGGCACAGGTACAGACAGGTCTGTAAGGGGGGCATAGGTGCAGTCAGGCTTGGAAGAGGCCACAGGTGCAGACAGGTCTGTAAGGGGGGCATAGGTGCAGTCAGGCTTGGAAGGGAGTACAGGTGCAGACAGGTCTGTAAGGGGGGCACAGGTGCAGTCAGGCTTGGAAGAGGGCACAGGTGCAGACAGGCTTGGAAGAGGACACAGGTGCAGACAGGCTTGGAAGAGGGCACAGGTGCAGACAGGTCTGTAAGGGGGCACAGGTGCAGACAGGCCTGTAAGGGGGGCACAGGTGCAGTCAGGCTTGGAAGAAGGAACAGGTGCAGACAGGCTTGGAAGAGGGCACAGGTGCAGACAGGCCTGTAAGGAGGCACAGGCGCAGACAGGTCTGTAATAGGGCACAGGTGCAGACAGTCTTGGAAGGAGGCACAGGTGCAGACAGGTCTGGAAGAAGGCACAGGTGCAGACAGGCTTGGAAGGAGGCACAGGTGCAGACAGGTCTGTAAGGGGGCACAGGTGCAGACAGGCCTGTAAGGGGGTACAGGTGCAGGCAGGCTTGGAAGGGCAGAGGCTTCCCAGAGTGTTAGTATGGGACTGTGAACCTTATCCTGACATCCCATCATTTACCAAAGGAGGGGCTGCTGAGTAGGACTTCATTCTAGAAAACTGTCCACTGAGAAATACAGAAGGAAGGACAGACCTTTCACCCTGGGCACTGAACACAGATTCCTGCCTGCCTTGGGCCCAGACCACTGCAAACTAGTGTCACTTCTTTTTTGCTCTAGGGTTTGACTAGGTGTAGGAGGGATGTGACAGGGAAGCTGTGCTTTGTTTCTCATCTGCCATTGGCAGAAACCAAGCCAAACAACAAAACTTACAGCTTTAAAAGTTTCATCTTATCATGCTGCTTGCTTAAACATAAAACCAAATCTTAGTAAGACGCTTTAGAGGCCAAACATGGCTAAAAGTCCAAAATTGCCCAGGTTACTAGTTTATAAGCAATAGTTTGCACTTGAGTCTCCAATAGGATTTGATAAAAAAAGAAAAAACAAAAACAAACAAACAAACAAACAAACCCAGCCTGTGGTATTCTGCCAAGCCTGGCCCAGCAGCAGGTCAGAGACTTTGTCAAGGTGTCTGTTTCTGGCTATACAGATATTGCTAGACCCAGTTGGGAACCTTCTTGGTCCTGGGTACTGACAAAGTCTTGAAAGTGTTTGACTGGCTGGTTCTGGGCAGCAAAAGAAAGCAGAAGAGAGGCCAGAGACCTTCGATTAGGAGAGGTCAGAGAAGAGAGGTTTAGCCAGTGGTGGGTAAAGAGTGAGAGGGGTGGTCCCTAGGGGAATTTTGAAGTTTGAGCTCTGGGAGGTGGGTAATTCCTGGTCCCAAAGGACATATGAGTTGTGGTCAAACTTGTAGACTAATGGGTCCCTCCCTGCTTTACAGATAGGGTCTGGCTTTTCTTGGCTGGCCTAGAAACTTAAGACCTTTCTTCTTCAGTCTTCCAAGTCCTGGGATTACAGGCATGCACCACCACACATGACTTTTAAAGGAATGCCAAACCTACATGATCTAGGATGCAATTAGATCCTCACTCAAGAAACGATTGGTTTTTAGAGATATATTTATTTGTATTTTGTGGGGTTTGCCTATGGGTATGTATGTGTACCATGTGAATGTCTGATGCCAGTGGAGACCAAATGAAGGAGTCAGAACCCCTGGAACTAGAGTTACAAACTGTTGTGAGCTGCCACGTGAGTGTGAGGAACCAAGCCTTGGTCCCCTGCAAGAGCAACTAGCGCCCTTAGCAGCTGAGCCATCTGTCCAGCCCCTCACTCTGTATCTTTGGTATCAAGGACATAATGATTGAGACACATGTGAAAAATCGAGAGAATCCAAGTGCATTAAAACTAAGTTAGATTAGTGTGCGGCTCCCTAAGTCTGGGGAATATAAACCTTGGGGCTTGGTTACTCAGCATGGCAGCAGAAAGCCTGCATCTGCCCCCAGTGCCTTCCACTGCAGTGTGTTCTACTGTGCACTGTGCATTGCATGTCCATACCTCTCTTGTGATGGCTCCATCCCACGCTGTAGGAGTCGGCTGTTTACCTTGGGGTTGTATGAGCCTAGTTATAGATTGTGACCAATTTCTTCGTAGGAGAGCATTTCTCTTAAAATGTTAAAAGTTCTGGGGCTGGAAAGATGGTTCAGCGGTTAAGGGAAGGCTCTGCTTTGCAGATGTCTCTTCTGAGCTTCCAAGGGTGTCTACATCAAGCGCACATATCTCCACATTGAAATATAATTGAAAATAATAAAAAATAGAGATTTTTAAAATAGTTGTGATTTCTAATCTGTTACAGGGACAGTTATATGTTGAAGGAACTCAGCCAGAGTATCAGAAGAAATCGGCCCTTCCTGCAGCTCCTTCTATGACCACAACACTTTGCATTCTTTCGCAAAGAATGCTAGCCGAATCTGCAGCATAGACTTGCTGGCAGAGCCTCAATGGAGGCTCTCTGAGATTTTTTTACTTGGAAACTCAGAGGCCTTAAATCAAAACAGCAAGCCTCTGCTTTCTTTTGCACGTATGCTCATCTCTATAACTGCCTCTGCGTGTGTGTGTGTTGGGGGGTGGTGTTGATTCCAGGCCGTCAGTATTCATAGATGCTCATGTTCTTTTTTAATATAAAATAATCTTATATTTGTATAGAACCTATGCAACCCTTCCAGGAATGTTAAAGTGCCTCTGGTTCATTTATAAACCAACTATAGACCCAACTGCTATGGCAGCTGCTAGGCTGTACTGTTCAGAGACTAGTGACAAAACTCCCCTCCTGTCTGCTGCAGACGCAGGTTTTTAATTTTTATTATCAGTTCGCGGTTGGTTGGATCTGAGACCTTCAGGAAATTGGCTATATTCAAACAGAATGAGGAAAGATAAGACCTTTTCTCTCTACCTCATTTCTCTCTGCACACTTACTTCAAGGGCAAACTTGTCTACTCTTTGTCCTTCAGGCCTCCATGACGAATCCCCCGATGTGATGTTCTACCCTGAGAAAAGCTACAGTGCTACACACGACACCTCATATGTCTCTTGGGCAGCTAGACCCAAACCTGTGTCGTTCCCTATGTCCAGACATTTAGGTAATAAACTCAGGACTGAAAATGTGGACAGAGAAACAACAGGTGAGTCAGGCTCTATGAAGACATCTGACATAGCATGGGAGGTGGGTCACCCTACAGATTTAAAAAAGAAAAACTTTTGTTGAATCTTTTGTGACTTGATGGCTTCCTACATCGATAGTTTGACTGAAGATTTTTCCCCCCTTTGGGATGGTTATGGCATAGTAAAAGCTTTTTGTTGTTGCTTTTTTGAGTCAGTCTTAGTATGTTTCCCAGCTGACCTTGAACTCACGATGCTTCTAGACTCACAATCATAGGCACCGGCTACCATGACATTATTTTTGCTTATGATGACCTTTTCAGAACCTGACCTCATATGAAGTCAAAGAGCTTCTCTAGATGAAGTTGAAAACTCTCGATGGTGTTGGAGGCTCTAGCAAGGCCAGAGAAGCCAGGGACATCAAATGTTAGAAACCAACCTCCATTTAACATTAGGCGTTGGGCTTTTGGGATTTTCTTTTTCTCGTTTAATCCTCACACCTGATAAGAGGAGAAGGATTAAAAACTGGCCAATATTACCACTAATGTTCTTGTCCTCCATGGTGTCTCTGAGATACTCCTAGAAATTTAGATCAGAAAGGAACTTTCTAGAGCTTTCTTGATTTTTTTTCCGCTCTCTGTCCTAGGCCAGTGTGCCCTATGTCTCCTGGGCTCTGGCTTGGTACATGATGGCCCTCTAGAGTCCAGTCCAGTTATTGTTTTTGAAGCACTGGATCCAGTTTTGTGAGGAAAGTAGTGAGTGAATGAAAAAAGAAAGAAAGTAAGAAAGGAAGGAAGAAAGTAAGGAAGAAAGAAAAGGAAAGAAAGAAACAAAGCAAGAAAGTGGAAGGACACGACGGCTCCTGGGTATGGAGGAGGAGATTTACTGTCGACACGAGGGAGAGCATAGCCAGGGGTAGAGACATCTAGGAGAGCCCAGAGTGAACATGACCCTGAGATAGGCTATGTGAGGAGTGGGGAGAGAAGAGAGGAGAGAGGAAAGAAGAGACAACTAGGGGAGGCTCGGGCCAAGAGACTGGCATAGCCAAAATGGCTGAGTTATAGGGGCCAGAGGAGCTGGAGGGAGGAACACCCAGCTCAATACCTGGGCTGGAGGGTTCAGGGTAGGGGACAGGGTATGACAGCAAGGAGGACCCTGTAACAGGTAGACTGAAGGATGTTGGGAGAAGCTAGTGGCCAGTGTCTGCTTTGATAATTAATGGACACCTCAGGGAGCCCTTTGTCCCAGGTTTGAGACCTAACAGTGAGGTATGTGATTCCAGACCTGAAGACCTTCCCAAGTGGGTCTTCGAAGCCAGGCACGTGTGGTCACTCATGTGGACACTAGTCCATGTTGGCCTGGAATTTGCTATGTAGCTGACTCTGGGCTTGAACTTGTAGTTCTCACCTGAGCCTCTCAAGTGGTGGAGTTACAGGTGTGCAGCGCCACACCCAGTTAGGGACGTGCTGTGTGAAATGAAATGTCAGTTGATTCTGTCATGTGTGAACCTCATAAAGTCTGCTTACAGAAACCTGGATGGCACAGCCTGCGATATACCCAGGCTAGGTCATGCATGCCATCTGTCATGGTGTGAAACATTGTGTCATTTGCAGCAGTCCATGAAATAAGCATGAGAAATACAAAATACCTTGTAAATGAACATTTCCAATTTTAAAGGTACACAGACCAGCATACTATCTACTATCTAGTCACCCAGCAGCAGTACCATCCTCTAGCCTCAACAATGATCCATGTTTTAGCATCTTAGTATTTTTTGTGATGCTGGTGACCGAACCTAGGACCTCACACTTGCTAGTAAGTGCTTTGCCACTGAGCTAAACCTCTAACCTGGCAGTTTTAGTTCATTCTCCTTCCTGAAATTGCTTCACTTTTTTTCACTAGAGTAGTGTGTGTGTGTGTGTGTGTGTGTGTGTGTGCGCCTTCCCAGTGCTGGGATTACAGATGTGTACCACTGCACCTGGCTTTTAAGTTGGTGCTTGGGATCAATACCCAGGTCTTTGTACAGCAAACACTTTATGGACTGAGCTCTCTCCCCAGTCCTCACTAGCACGTTTTACAGGAAATTCAGGAGATGATGCCATTTCAGTCTTTGCTACTATAAATATCTTAAGCTGAAAAGCACCTTGTACGTTTGAATCAGGAGGTTCCACTTCTGGTGGGAGAGAGATAGATTAGAATATTCAGTGGCCTAGGGGTAGATGTGGAGATTTATTTGGGGGTGAGCTTTGTAGTGGATTTGTTTGGGGACTAGACTCACTACAGACTCAACCATCTACCTTTGTCTGGCTTTGCTCTAGAGGGAAAAGGGAAGAGTTCACTCCAGTGGATCTCTGAGATGAATAAAGAGATTTTTGGAAAAGCGGGCACATCCAGGCTGGGAGATGACCCGTGCAACATGTTGCTGAGCCTGGATCATGTCCAACTCCTGTCTTCTGGGTACAGCAGATATCGGGACTTTATACGTGACCTGCCTCTCCACCTCTCCAAGTACATTCTAAGTATGCTGGGTAGATGAGGGGATTTCTCAGAGACTTCCCATCTGAGCCTAGCTCAGGGCGGGAGTGTTTCTGGGTCCATCTTCTTTCTTTTTCTCCAGGATTGCTGGATAAGAACAGTCTGAACAAGTGTTACTTTGTAAGCCAGCACTGGGCTACTCTGGTCCAGCAGGTCAAGGTGGACCTGTCCATGCACTCCTTCATTCAGAATCAGATCACTCTCCTGCAGGTACTTTGGGTCTGAAAGGGCTGTGTCTGGGACCAGCTTTGTTTTCATACTAAGGTTGAAGCTTTGTGTCTCCCAGGTAGACTCCAAAGATGGCTTCCTATCCATATTTGCAGCCACTCCCCTGTGCTCTGGCCTCCCCGTGGGTCCTTATCTGTCCTTCTACTGTCTTTGTACACAGCTGGGACAAATACAGAAACCTTCTGGGTAGCCTGGTGGGATGGTTCTGTGGGTGCATGTGCCTGCTACAAAGTCCGATGACCTGAGCTCAGTCTCCCGACCTCACAGGAGGAAAGAACCAATGTCTGCAGGTTGTCCTCTGACCACACATGTGCTGTGGTATAGGTGTCTCCCCCTGCACAACACACACAAAACAAACAAAAAGACAAATGTACCAAACATTCTTTTTAAACAGAAATCTCTCAGGAACACAGGTGTTTCCTAACCCTCAGAGGGCTGGGGCTCCAGCTTAGTGCTATAGTATTTGTCTAGCGTGTGCAAGGCTCTGGGAAGTTTAGGTTGTGAAACAGTCAACTGTCATTGACTAATGAATGCATCATCATGCACAGTAGAGAGAGCACATGAGTCTGCACTTGAAAGACTATAACTTGCCAGGCAGTGGTGGCGCACGCCTATAATCCCAGCACTTGGGAGGCAGAGGCAGGCGGATTTCTGAGTTCGAGAGTTCGAGGCCAGCCTGGTCTATAGAGTGAGTTCCAAGACAGCCAGGGCTACACAGAGAAACCCTGTCTTGAAAAAAAAAAAGAAAAGAAGACTATAACTTACTGTCCTCATGCATTGTGAATTTACCAAAAACAGCTCTCTTGAATGGCCATCTCTCAAACTCCAAGATCCCAAGCCAACCCAAATGTAGAGGCAGAAAATTCTCCCTCTTCATGAAGAGTTATAGGGGCCACCACACTCACAAAGCCATGATGAACTCTTGAATCCTCTTCAAGCTATCCTCATTATTTATGAGGCCCAAAGGCACTGGATTTAGGTTAGCAGGAAGTTTACTCCAACATGAAGCATCTCTAGCACGTCTACCTTTGTTTCTTGCCTGAGACCTAACTCTGAACCATGTCGGCCAGGCGGTGACAAAGGAAGAGAAACAGGCACAGTAAGGCAGGCCACTGGCAGGAGCTGCTCCCTTCCCTTCCAGGCACTTGATATTCATTAGCCATCTTGATTTGTCCACTCATGGTCTTGATGTAACTGAGCAGACCTGGGCTTCAGGGTTCGGCTATCTCCAGATTCCATCAACAACTAGCTTTTCCCCTTTCTCCAGGAGAGTAGAAACAAAGAGGAGTCATTTCTTCTGTGTGCATGTCTGTCTGTCTGTGCATGTGTGTTTCCGAGTGTGTGTTTGTGTGTGTGTGTGTGTGTTTTAAATATATATATTTAAGGCTGGGGATATATCTCAGTAGAAGAGTGTTTGGTTCAGCCCCTGCACCACAAAATATTTTTTTCTTGAGATGACAGATATCATGTAGAATACAATGGTTTGAAGTATCATGGAAGGGTTAAATGTCTCTAACGAATGCATCAACCAAATACCATAGAGAGAGCACTTAGCTTTGCATTTAAAAATACAATCTATTGGCCGGGTGGTGGTGGTGCACGCCTTTAATCCCAGCACTTGTGAGGCAGAGGCAGGTGGATTTCTGAGTTCGAGAGTTCGAGGCTAGCCTGGTCTACAGAGTGAGTTCCTGGACAGCCAGGGCTACACAGAGAAACTCTGTCTCAAAAAACCAAAACAAAAAAAAATCTATTATCATTAGTTATTATGAACTTACCATGCAATAGATCTCTTGAACCTCCTCCTGTCTAACTCTGTGTGTCCTTTGACCATAACCTCTGCCCCTTGCTCCCTGGAAACCACCTTAGTCACTATTCAGGTAGTCACTATTCTTTCTACTTTCTATGACATCAACTTTGTTAGAGTCCATACAAGTGAGATTATGTATTTGTCTCTATGTGCCTGGCTTATTTCAATTAATATAATGTCCTCTACTTCCATGCACACTGTTGCAAATAATGTATTCCACTGCGTGTATGTCTGTGTGTGTGTGTGTGTGTGCGAGTGCATGTGTGTTTCTGTTTGTGTCGATGAGTGTGTACATCTTTAGTGGATACTCACTCACCTTAGTTTTATGTTTTAGCTATTATAGATAGTGTGCTAATATACACAAGAGTACAGATGTCCAAGTGTAGTATTTCTTTCTCTCTTAACCACATAGGGGTCCTACACGAGGGGAATAGATCCTAATTATGCCAACAAAGTCTCAATCCCAGTTCCCAAAATAGTAGATGATGGGAAGCGTTCACGGTCAAAAAATCAGAAGTGGAAACTGAGAACAAAGGTGGGTTTCAGTGTTGTCTGAGGTAAGTAGCTGAAGGGGTCATGTTCCCATTGGCCACTGAAGGCTGATACCCACAAGCAAAGATACAGGCTCTTGGGAGGCACCACTTCCAAAGTTTATCTGTGTTGCTACCCACATATAAGTCACTCCTTCTACATAATCCCTGATGCCACCATCTGCTGGGTGAATGGGATCCATTGGCCTGTCCTCTCAGTGGAGATGTCAGAGGCTGGGAGCAGTGCCAGCCACGCCTCCGATTCCCTTGAGTCCTAGGAGTCGAGGCTGCTGCTTTGGAATGGGAATGGAAAGAGGGCTAAGGCTTGTCTAGAATGCTGGGTTTCTCACCTCACTACCAGGTTCATTCTGCTGCTTGATAGAGGGGAGAATCAGTCAACTATAGCTCCCCTCGCCAGTACCTAGGCTAAACGCAAAAGAACACAGGGAAGAAGTTTGGAGCATTTATTACCTAGGCATTGTAGTGACCCCTAAGATCATTCCACCTCTGCTCCTTCTCTCTATTGAAATTCCGTTTATTCTAAAGTCTATTCAGTTGGCACCAAAAAGATACTCAGTGAGGAGCAGTTTGACTTGGGTTCCCATAGGAGTATAAATTATACTGTAAAGTATAATTTAGAGATGACTTATCTCTCGTGTGTGTGTGTGTGTGTGTGTCCAGGCAGAGAACCCAGAGGGAGGGGGTGGTAACATGGCCCGTGAAGGATGGTGAGATTAAGGTTAACTGAGAGCCTGCTGCCCTCCCAAGGGTCAGGTAGCCATGCAGCTCCAGTTAACCATGCCACTGAGAACCATGGAATCTGACCATCCAGACCATTTGAATTTTCAGGAGAAGGTAAAAATCGGTGGTAGATAAAATTTCTTGTATTCCTGGGTGTGGTAGCACATACCTGAAATCTCAGCTGAGGCAGGAGTATTGCCTAGGCTATGCAGTATTGGCTAGGCTAGCCAGCTTGAGCTGGCTCACACACACACACAAAACAAGCAAAAGCAACTTCTTGCTTTTAAAAAAATTGATAGCAGCCAGTTAAAAGATTTTTTTGTTATTTTTTCCCCCACAAATAATGTAAACTAAGAAAAGACATTTGTCAATCTTATTTACCTGCAAGCTTTCATCTCAGTTCGTTCATCTACCCATTTTGTCAGTAAAGAAAGTGAGGCCCAGAAAACTCAAGGGTTTCTATGCAGTTTAGTGACAGAGGTACAGTTTAATCACATGCACACACACACACACATGCACACACACGCACACACACGCACACAGAGCTTTTCTAAGTATGTTTCTCTTTTATGTGTGACAAGCTCCATGGGCACTGGAGACAGGGCAGGTCTTCAGAGCATCTCTCTGTGGTTAAAGATTAAGAAGAGTGAACAGAGGGATGAAGGCATCTGAAGAAGAGTACAGGACATGGAGGAGAAGGCTAGCGTTCAAAGAGGATCAACAAGGGATGCTCTTGGGCCTGTCTGATACAAACACGATGTTGTGGGCTGCTCGTGTGACAGTTTCTTTCTTTCCTACCAGTCTAGTGTGACTCTTTCCAGATTTCTGAGGGATTGGAAGAGGAATGGAAGTGTTTGGTTCAGTCATCTATACCAGAAATTTTCATGTATGACAGGCTGGAGCCATTCAGAAATTGTATGGTGAATGGCCGGAGGGAAGGAGGAAAGGGGGAAGAAGGAAGATAAGAAGCAAAGAGAATCACTCCATTGAGATTTGATAAAACTCATGTCCCCTCCTTAAGTCATCTCAGAAATGTCACCTGTAAGGTGACAAGAGCTCTGTGTGGGCAAGTGGTCTACTTTGTAAGTCATCTGCAAGGACAGTGAGAGCCATGCGTATCTGAGCACTGGACTCAAAGGCACTGAGTGTGGCACAATGTGTTCTGTGCTATCGGGTACCTGGACTGTACATACAAAAACCTGACTTTGTGCGATGGTTGGTCAAAGGCAGCTGTGATCTGGTGTATGACCATGCTCCTGTGACCTTGTCCATGTGAGCTTGTCTATGTGAACATGTTCAGGTGAGCATGTCCATGTGAGCTTGAGTGTGTGAGCATGTCCATGTGAGCTTGTGTGTGTGAGCATGTCCATGTGAGCTGGTGTGTGTGAACATGTCCATATGAGCTTGTGTGTGTGAACATGTCCATGTGAGCTTGTGTGTGTGTGTGAGCATGTCCATGTGAGCTGGCCTGTGTGAGCATGTCCATGTGAGCTTGTGTGTGTGAGCTTGTCTATGTGAACATGTCCAGGTGAGCATGTCCATGTGAGCTTGTGTGTGTGTGTGAGCATGTCCATGTGAGCTTGTGTGTGTGAGCATGTCCATGTGAGCTGGCCTGTGTGAACATGTCCATGTGAGCTGGCCTGTGTGAGCATGTCCATGTGAGCTGGCCTGTGTGAGCATGTCCATGTGAGCTTGTATGTGTGAGCATGTCCATGTGAGCTTGTGTGTGTGAGCATGTCCATGTGAGCTTGTGTGTGTGAGCATGTCCATGTGAGCTTGTGTGTGTGAGCTTGTCTATGT